CAACTTGTTCCAATGAGAATAAACCTCACTGTTCTGAGTGTTCCAACTAATTTTAAGTATGATTATTTTATATTAATTTTGTATTTATTTAACTATTTTCTCACTCACTCTTTCTGCCTCACTCAAGCCGTTTTCACACATGAAGTCCAGACTATGTCCATAGAATCAGGTCCAGCCTTTGTCCAGAGTTGCCCTTTTTACACATGTAGCACACAACAGGATATAGTCCTGTAGCGCACAGGACATGTGGCATGATGTTATTACATAGCCAGTTTGTAATTTGGTTATAAATGGCCAAGTCTCTTGTCATACCTTAATCTTGTCTGTTGATTCTGGCTGTTACTGTAACAACAGAAAAGAAAGTCACTTTCGGCTTTTCCTGTTTTTAGGGGTCGCCACAGCGACCATTTTCTCCTTATTTCTCCAGCAACCCTGATTCGAAACCGGGGCGCTGCGGCCAGAGCGCTGCGCCTTAACCACTAGCCTACCAGGGACGGCTTACTGTAACAACAGAGGTTCCTGAATTTATTCATGTCTCCAGTCAGATATTTTCTTTGCTGTCTTCGTTCAAAATGACCATTTTTCTTCATGTGCACACACCCACAGTGTTTTCCATGCAAATAGACAAGCACACTTTTTGTCATTTATATTACACTAATAGTACCACTAATCATGCTCAATTAATCTAACGCACCTTGACACTGTTGGCACTTGTAATAGATCTGGATGCAACAGCCTCTGTCACTGATTTGTCTGTTGGCCCTCCAGGTGTGTTTTGCAGTAGAAAAGTCTTTGTCAGTGATGCCTTTTGTTTGTGTTGCACTGCAAAGTAGCACACAGTGCATGGCCAGTTGTAGGCCTAATTATTGCTGGTAAATGTCTCATGCCTGCATCTTCACAGCCTGAAACAAGGATGTGAGTTTGGTGATATATGACTCGCAATTTTGTGCAGGTGACTCCTGTAATGCAGTGGTCCCCAACCCCCGGGCCGCGGACCGGTACCGGTCCGTGGATCAACTGGTACCGGGCCGTACAAGAAATTATTAATTATTTCCGTTTTATTTATTATCTGAGTCTGAACAATCTTTTATTTTGAAAAATGACCGCATTCTCTCGGTTACATCTCGGTCACT